ATAACTTATGCAAGTGTAGACAATGCGGAGACAAATTTGTATAGTTTCCACTTAGCTTTGCTGATGATTTAATACAATTTGCTTTGAGCATTGTCTAACTGTTAGAGTTGTTGTTGCCCTCGATTGAGTGCATTTTCATTTATATACCATACATAACTACTCAATTAATTGGCAAAGAGCATGGCGAAACATTAAAATGTTGACATAAGAATGATTTGACATTTTCGCTGATAAGATGGTCACTGCGAAATTTTTACGCGGAATTTATTGGAGTGCTAAAAGCAATTGACCCTAAAATATATTCGAAGTAAATAAATTTTCATTGCACTAATTACACATAGGGTTCAACTTCCAGCTACGTGTCTCTCACTCTATAAGAAAAAATTTAATCGCTTTATCAAACAAAGGTCTTATGTATGGTAGAGGAGATGTGTGACAGAGGTTTGCTCAAATTATCAAGCAATCTTCCTACCCTTAGAGTTTAAGTGAAGCTTTTTATTCCAAATATATACGTAGATTGCCTTTTATATTTCTGGAGTTGGCAATCCTAGTGTTGCAATCTGGCAGCTCACAACTTTATTGTAAAGTTTGACATTTTTGATGTTTTACATACTCAAAACGTTTTGACATACAAGCGCTATTTGTGTCATTTACAGTAACTTAAAATATTCATCTCAGCTAAAAAATGGAATTAAATCGCGAATATTTTAGCGCGATTATTTTTTACGACTTTCGACGTGAGTTAACTTAACAACAGTGCATCGAAGAACTTAATTCAGTTCTGGCCGATGAAGCACCACAAAAGACCAGTGTTTATCGCTGGTATGGTGAATTCAATCGACGTCGTAAATCACTTCATGACGAATTTCCTATCGTGAGAATATGTAATTTAAAAGTGTAAAGATCTTAATGGAGAATATATTGAAAGACTTGAAAGTGTTTTCCGATGATTAATATTTGTTTTTGTTCTCTAATCCCGAAATATAAAAGGCAACCCTCGTATACAGTGGTACATGAAAGGCTACTGACAGGAAATGGAAATTAAAGTTTGCATATTGTATTTGCGGCAGTGGTCAGCAACTGCAGTGGTGAAATCGTGACGCTCTCAACACACTGGCGAATACTTGGCGACAGTGTACAAGCGCTCTTGCTGATATACCATGCATAGTATGTGTGCGTTAGAAACAACTTGGTGTGCTAAAAGCCTGCTCCGGTTATTCGCTCGACTCCCAAGCATTTCAAAACAAGCGTGTGTGTTTGTAAACTACTGTTTGCTCTGCAAACAATGCCATTATTATTCCAACAAAGCTGAGTGAAAATTGTCTTGCGGAGAAGCTATTCAAATATGCAAATCTCTTGCAACAATCTAAGACAGCAACAACAAACACACGTACTTATATGTATGTGTTATATGTATGTACATATGACTGCCCATCAATAAGGAAGTGTATAGTTCATTTTTAGTTCGTTGAGATTAAATTAAATCTGTATGTTAGACAAATTGGTATGAACTCACATACACACACACACACACAAATGAGTACATACATAAATAAGTCCATATTCAATACACGTAATTGCTACTTGCCATACTATCTTTGCAACTGATTGTTGAGTAGTTGCTTCAAGGGATTAATCTCTTTCCAGTCGCATAAATAGTAGGTGCGTCAAAAAAATAACTTTTGTTTGCTTGGTACTCTTAAAAATAGGTTATTAGACAACTTTACAAAAATCTCTGCAAATATCAGCTCTTAATTGTAACGGGAAGGTCCTCCGCCTTACAGTTTTCGTTTTGTCTTATTATTTGATAGAAAAAATCATATCGCGCTTCCAATTCGCTTGAAAAAATATTTGGTTTCATAAGAAATTGAATGCCTTTAAACCTAACCGTTTAAAAGATATAACCGGTTGAAGTTTGATGCATTCTAAGGCAAAATTTTTTTTTTTAATTATGTCTTTTATAACTCAATGAAAAAAAATAAATGATAAATAATACAAAATCGTCATACTAAACGAGCTAGATATGGATTCCATGATACCGACCAGGATTCAAATCAAGCACCAATAAATATAACGGGATAAAACTTTGTACGAATAGTAACTTTGAGGTGTGCCATCTTATGACCAAAAATTGTTCAAATCGGACTATTCAAATCCCCAGATACCGACTATGTGTACCCCAGTTCCTATTGCGAACTTTTTATCGAAAATATCGGTAAATCTGTGAGGTATATTATAGAAATTCGGTGAAAATCATTTTCAAACAATAGTATGACTGTATGCCAGAAATGTGTTAAATCGGATCTATAATTCCCTTAGTCCATATATACCTAATAGAAATTTTTTCTAATTTTCGGCTAACTTTATACCGGAAATATCGGTCCATATGTAAGTTATCTTGATCAAAATGAAAGGACGCGTTTTTCTAACACCAATGTGTCTTTGTGCCTAAAATGGATAAAATCGGGTTAAAACTTGCCCTAGCCCCCATATAACTAATATTAGAATTTTTAAACATCCGTTTGACTTTACTCCTTATATATTGCTGATGGTATGTGAGGTATCTTAAGTAAATCCGAGAGCATCTTTTTCTGTTAGCAATATGTAATAGTGCCAAAACTAGCTCGGGTCGACTCAATACTACCCCTCTCTCATATAGATTAATAAAAGATGTTCAAACTTCCGGTTGGCTCAAGCAAAAATTATCGTTTACCAGTGTTCAAAGGTAAGAAATTAGCTTCAACAAAACGCATTCTTCTGCAAAAGTTGTAGTGAAAAGTGCATTTGGCTCACTAAAACAACATTATAGGAGGCTTTTTAAGTTTACGAGCACAGAGATTTATGACAATTTCAAATTAATTGGAAAGAAATTTTATTCATAATCAAATACCGTTAAAGAAGTTTCACGTTTTCTTCTTCCAATTTCAGTCTCTCTTGTTAAATTTTTATTAGGATATTTCGTTTTTAGACAAAATCCTGCATCATTTTTTGCATGCTCGCGCAGAATCGCTCGTTTTCTTCGGAACTCGTTCTCTGCAGCTCGAGTTTCTATTCCAAATATCGTTCCCTTGCATTTTTCAATAACGGGGATCGCTTGGCTCTTGCAATTGAAATTCTGCAGGCGCGCATATGTCTTGTAGACTCTGCTTATATGTACTTGGCACATCTTCTGGTGTTGCTGCGATATCGGTGGACTTTGTTAACGCCTGGTTACCTATGAATGAACTGAAAATAGCGAATTAAATATGGGCAATACAAAAAGAAAAATTAATTTAAGCTCACCATATATTTCAGGCAATGTCACTTCAGGATCTGTCCCAATGTTAAATTTGTGGTTGATGGACACAATGCCACTCTTGCCGAAAATATCGCATTTACGGTACTATTTTACAGCTATGCGCATTCACCTACAATTGTAATTTGTGTTCAGTAAATTAGTTCCCGAATCCGCCGGAAACTGTATATCACGAGTATATAAAAAAAATCACTAGTTGCACAATTCACTTTTCAACTTTCAAATTATTCTTTCAATTATCTCGTAGAAAAGCGCGAATTGTCAACGTTGAACTGCTTTACCGACAAGAGCGTTTTGGCAGAGAACGTATGTCATATACGTTCTCTGGTTTTGGTAGACATTCACAATCACCTTTTTTTTTGCCATTTACCATAATCATTGTGAATGGCAACAAACAAAGTGCAGAAATAGTCAGCTGGTTCAAATATTGTAACTGTTTTAAGAAATTTTAAATATTTGAACTATCCCACCATCAAAATTCACCTTTTCCTTTCAACACACCTCGTATGCGTCACTATTGTTATGTGAACGTGTCCAATCGAGGTAATCTTCAATCAAAGTCTTTGGAGAGAATCTACTGATAGTACTTTTTCCGAGGGACGACATTACCCACAAAATATAATTTTAGAAAAGATTCAAAGTATTTCTGGGCAGTAAAGGGAGAACTCCACTAACGAAGAGTACTTAAGGAGAAGCACCCTGCATTGGTATACAGTTGGCTCAAAAACGGCAGATGGAATTGGTCTGTCGATACCCACGAGCAATTTCCAAACATTTTTCAAGCTCAGGTCTAAAACTATTATGGGGAACGTATCTCTCTGTGATACTCAAGTGGCACTTCAGGCAATCGCGTCCGTTCAAATCAAATCAACAATGGTACTTGAGTGTATTAAAAACAATTAACAGGACCATTAATAATGACATATAATTAGTAGCAAATTTACAATCTTCTGGCGCAAAAAGCTACGGCAACCAAGCCAATAGGATCGGAGCCGTTAAGATCTTCCGGGAGTAAGAAAGGATTTGTAGTCATAATAGACTAAAGGGCACATTGTATTCCTCAACTTTAATGAGATCTAATCTAAGTCAAATTCATACAAGGTGGCGGCCGTCAGCTAATTGCTTGCTCTTCCTTATTTAAAGCTATATGAAAATCAAATAGTTTATGTTTCCACGTCCTTTCGGTTCTTCTATTGTTCTGTGTACAACAGTTTCTTATAAATTTTCTGACATCCGAGACGAGTTGAGTCGACTTAGCGATATCCGTTTGTTTGGTGGACGTGGACTACTCCCCTCAGTTTTTGAAATATCGATCCAAAAATTTTTCATACGTCCTTCTCTTTCCAAGAAACTGCTCATTTGTCGGAATCGCCGATATCGGACCGCTATAGCATATAGCTGCCATACAAACCGACCGATCTACATTAAGTTCTTGTATAGAAAACTTTTTTATTTGACAAGATATATTCATGAAATTTTGTATGCGTTAGTGCCCAAGAACATCGCTACAATAACTAAACAAATTGTTCAAATCGGACCACTTTAGCATATAGCTGCCATACAAACTGGCTAATCAAAATCAAAATAAAGGTCCGTTTCTCTTCTATACTATAAAAAAATGCACTGTGGAAGGAGGAGCTATGTATTATAGCTTCGGTGCAGGCGAAGTTAATGTTTTTTCCTGTTTTTAAATAAAACATATTTCCTGTGTTAACTCATACACTTATATTTGTTTTATTATTAGCAAACATCATCACGCTTAAAATTACCAGGCTAGTATAGTAGGTAATTGTATATTTCTTTATTCATTTATTTAAGTTAGACATTAGGTAATTATTATTTTAGTTATTAAATGTACGTATATATGTATGTTATTAATATATGTTATATGCTATTTGTATGTAAATTTTTTGTAATTTTAAATTGATTTAGCGTTTTCCTTTTGTTTGCATTGTATATACAGACCTTTTTGTTTTTAAGACAATTAATTATAATTAGATTAATATGTATGTATGTGTTTGTGTATATGTAAATTAGAGAGTAATTAAATTAAATTAAATTAAAATTATATAGAGCACTTATATGGTAATAATTAGTAGCTTGGCGTACAGTTAAGGCAACTAACGCGTACAAAACGTGTACGCATGCGCGTTCAATATTCATTTATCAGCTAAGTAACTATGTTGAAATAGTATTGAAGCATCATCATACAATTAAAAATTATTAAACTATTACAAAAGTAGTTAAGTAAAAGTTGTATTCACGCGGAATTGGTAGTAATTAATATATATTGTATATATAAATATATATTGTAAATATGCATAGTATATGTAGTTGAAAAAAAATTTCTGCTAAAATCTGTTGCCCATATTTTTTAATGTTTGTTTGTAGGTACTTGTCGTAGGCGTGTGTAATAAAATGCGCTTAGAGACTGCTGCGTGTGAGTTTGTATGTGTGTGTTCGTACACTTTTTTCTGCAGCTCTTCAATCATAACGGCTGCCACGCGAGTTACACGCTTTTATCTTATCCACAGTACATTCCAAAGCTGCCTTTAAATCGCTAAAAACAGGCACACCCTGACGTTTGGCCAAATCGATTAGATACGAACGACCGCGATTGTAATCCTTAATAGCAGCCGGAGTGAGCTAAATAAGTAAAAATATTTAAAAAGTCAATAACTTTCAGTCAAAATTAAAAAAAAAATATATATATAATATATACCACACACCTTCTCATTTTTAATTACACAATCGTCGGGCAACATTTGCACTGCCAAAACCACATTATACATCAAGCCGATGCAATGCGCTGCCAGCGTCATGGGCGCCAATGAGCGCGTCTCATTGGTTATGACGAATAATAGCACGCGACTGGCATCCAAGAGCGCCGGATTGTAGAGACTCGGACGCATCGGTGGCAATGCCCAGCTGTAGGTCTCCTCCGACACTGTCAACTCTTCCTCCTCCTCTTCCTCCAAGGCGGCGCCACGATATTTTCGGCGTGTACGCTTTAGCGACTTCTCCTGTGCGCCCAATTGACGTGCATCCTCGTACACTTTATCTCGCAAACTGTCCAGTTGTGGTGTTTGCAAACTCTCATGCAACGCTGGCAGATGAAAGGTAATGCCTTTCGCCTTCAAATACGGCATAGCGATATCTTGACGCCATTTAGTGCGCAAAAAGCAACTGCCACCAAGATAAACATCACGAAAATCAGTGCCGGCAAAGGTTAGCAACTCATTGCCACCATAATTGCAATTGACCGAATTGATGGAACTGCTTGATGAAAATACCGAATCATTGGAATCGCTCTCCTCCTCCGCTGTTATGCTGCTATCCGGATATGTTGAGTGCGACTGCGCGGCGCTGTTGGCGTTCAACTGCGCCAGCGGATGTGCTGCTGCTGCTGAGTGTGCGCTCAATATTGGATAAGCTGTAGCGGTAGTAGTAGAAGTATTAGGTGGTGTTGTTGGTGTATGAGCAGTTTGGATGGTTGTTGTAATTTCGGTTGTTTCTATAGATTCGATGTTGACAAGAATTTTTGTTTTTGCTTTACCTAACTGTGCGGTCGAACGTGATTTCATGGGCTGATCTAACGGTTGCGGTGACGAGGTGCCACTATCGCGACTACGACTCAACAGATCATTGCTGCTGTGACGTTCTTCGCTACCGGGTACGCTGGTTTGACTGGAGGTGCGCGAAATATTCTTACTGGTGAAATAGCTGATAGCGAAATTGCTTTCGTCACCTGGAAAAGCGATTGAAAAGAAAAACAATTATAATAGAAATGTGATTATAAAAACAAGAAAATTATTTTTTTTTTTTGCTTAGTCTGAGGGTAAAATTTGTAGATTATAAAAAAAAAAGAAAATGTTTGGCAAACTTTTAAAGTAAATTTCGAGTTAAAATTTTTTTGGGACAAAAAAAAAAATTTTTTTTTTTGGTTTAAACTCTTCACATCTATATAAAAATTACCGAATTTGACGGTTTTTGACTCAAAATTTATTTTAACGCTTAAGAAGAGCATGTTGTCGTTTATGACTTTTTTTAAAACTCTAATAATGAAAACAAAATCTTTTTTTAAGTTGATAACTTTTAATTGGCCAAATAGAGCACTCTCCACAGCTTCTAGAACACTTATCAAAAAATGTTTACGAAATAAAAATTTTAACTCGAAACTTAACTTTAAAAGTGAGTAGCCCTCTAAATATTAAAAAAAAAAAAAATTTCAAAAATTTTCTTTTTTTTTCAAAAAATTCTTTTTTTATACTCTACAGATTTGACCCTCAGACTATAACAAAAAAAAAATATATTTACCTTGCATATTGGTAAGATAGACCGGCGGTGGTGGCACATTAGTGCCCTTAATGGGCGAAATACAACCACTTTCTTGTATTTCCTGCTGTAGCACCGAGAGATAAGCCGATATTACGCAGAATAAATCAAAGTCGACATCCAACGTTTCGTTCAACGAAGCTGTGGGTGTGTCGGAGCTGCACGATGATGCGGATGAGCTCTTCTTAGTGGCGTGCTCGCTGCTGCTAAGCTCTGGCTGAACGCCAGATTTTGTACTGCGTTTTTGTAGCGCTTCCAACGTTTCGCGTTGTGTGGCGATTATCTTATTTAAATTGTCTAATTTAACTAGACTCTGAGCGTAACCTAAATATAAGAGAGCGCGTTGACATTGAACAACTGTAATTACGCCGTTCACGGGATTAACGCGATCGAAGGCGCCACGTACGACACTGTGCGGTGAGAAAGGTGGAAACGTTTTTTTTTTTAAATTATTGAAATTTTTATTTTTACTTTCTGACATGAACTTACACTAAAATCGTTGCTATATTCGAGGGTGGATCTCTAATGCCAGCCAAAATGTCCTTGGTACGCTGCAGACCCGATGGTATATCATCCATAACTGGTAGGCCACGACGTGTGACCAATTCCTTCAATATTAACTGATTGCGCCGGAGGTCAATGTATTCTCTGTTGGGGTTAGAGCAAACAGCAACAACAAATTAGTGCGTCTACTTAGAGACAATAAACTCATCACATAGTACACTTACTGCTGGGATATTTGCTCATTAAGTATAGATTGATTACGCTTATATGGATGTAGTACCAACACCAGCTGCTTGCAGTTTTGACCCGCTATATGTGCCGCCTCAATGGCACCAGCAGAAGCGCGCGTCTCCGAATCCATAACGAAGAACAAAACACGCGCCTTCTCTTTGGCGCGATGCTCCAACTCGATGAGATCAGGCGTCCAATCAGATACTTGCTGTAAGTCGCAAGGAAGAGAACAAACAAAAAAAAAAATCATTAATTAAAGTAAAAAATTTGCATACAAGCATCAAAACGCTTACGGGATTGTAGAAGGAAATGCCCAGTTCATTCAACGCTGGTATCGCGACATCGGCCCGCCAGGTGGTGGGATTACATGAACCGCCTAGGAATACCTCAACCGGTGCTGATGTGTCGCCCTTTGACAATTTTCGCTTACAGTCTTCGACATTACTTAAGGATTTTGTACTACGCAATTCGGTGCCCGTTGCTGTTGTTGCCGTGCTGCATAGCGTGCCGTTATTGGCCTCAACAACACGACTGCTATTGTCATTGTTTTCTTGCTGTAGAGAGCTTAATAGATTTACCTTGTCACAAATCGACGGCGAAAAAGTCGATGTGCTGTTGAGGTTATGGAAAAAATATATACAAAATAAATTATTTATTGTTTATGAAATAATTTTCTTTGTGTTAACTCACCGAAAGCGTTTTAGATCGGCTGCTAGCACACAAAATTCGCCAAAAGTGAGACCATTCGATTGGCGGCTGCCTTTGCGTGCTAACAATTTGGCTGTTTGTAGCATTTCGCTGACTGGAAATTAAATAAAAATTAATAAATAAATAAAAATTAATCGTTTAATTAGTTGTAATTATTAGACATATTTAAAAGTTAATAATAAAATTATAGTAATAGTAATTAAATAATTAATAACTAATTTTATGTAAATAATTAATTGAAATTAATTATTCATAATTAATTTTATGTAAATAATTAATGGTAATTAATTAATTAAATTAGTTTTATGTAAATTAATAAATTTAAATTATGCCTTTAATATTATTTTGATCGTGAATTACTGAATTTTAAAATTAATTTTTTTTATTTTTTGTTTTTGTTTTTTTATACTCTAAACAAGATGCATTATGTTTTCCACTAAGTTTGTAACACCCAGCAGGAAATGTCGGAGACCCTTTAAAGTATATATATACATACATATATAAATTATCAGATTTAGTTGGAACCAGTGCCTCCGTTTTTGAGATATCAATTTGATATTTTGTACATGTTCTTTCCTCCCCAAAAAGCAGCACATTTGTCGGAAACGCCGATATCGGACGACTATAACATATAGCTGTCATATAAACTGATCGATCAATACCAAGTTTATGTATGAAAAACTTTTTTATTTGACACGATATCCTCACGAAATTTGGCATCAGGTATTATCCAAAGAAGGGCTACAATGCTAGAACATATTGTTCAGATCGGCCCACTATAGCGTTTAGCCGCCATACAAACTGAGCGATCATAATCAATATTAAGATCTTTTTATACTCTATCAAGCGATAAGACCTGTGAAGGGTATTGCAGCTTTGATGTAACTATAACGGGTTTTGGTGTGTATTATTATTTTTTGAACATTTTTTTTTCAAAATTTCCTTGTTTTTTTCTGGTTTTAGTTATTTTAAACACATTTATGATTTATATTATTGTATATAATATTGTTGTTGATCTATTTTACAACTTTATTTATTAAAATTTTCTTTTTTCATTAATTATTTTAATTTGTTTAATATTTTATATATAATTATAATATATTTATAACTTTATTTATTAAAGTTTTCTTTTTTCATTAATTATATTAATTTGTTTAATATTTTATATATAAATAGTTAAATTTTCTTTTAATATTAACTTTTTTATTATATTTTAATTTATTTTAATTATATTAATTCTTGGCATATATTTTATTATTTTCTCATATTCAATTGGAGTCAATATCATATATCATTTCTTTTGTATTTTGTTTAAAAGGTTTACTTTATTTTTTCAATTCATTCTGCTAAAAATATTTTTTGGGATATTTTTATATTTTTTTCTAGTATTTTATTCTATTTTTAATATTTATGTCTGTTGCTTTCACTTTATCTCGAAATTTTTGTAAATACTTACTTTGCTTCTCACTCGGATGAAAACTCAGCTCATGAAAGAGCTCCTGTGTGCGCTCCGCCGGCACGACATTGCAGCGCGCTTTGGCACGCCAGGCGTTAAGAACTTCTCTGCAAATAGAATAAACAAACAAAAATTAGTTATTTTACATTAAAATATTTATGAAAGAATAAAAAATATTTAATTTTAAAATTCAACTATGAATAAAAACTATTTACGAGACAAAACAGCCGACAACACCCAAGCGCACAGTCCGAACTTCGCTGTGCTGCTGGGCGGCGCTAACGGTGTCAGACGCCAACAACCACATGGAACTGGTATCTAAGTCATTGACCGTGTGGCGATTGCGCACAAATGCATTGCAGCCACAAAGCGGCGAAGATGGCGCGCGGTAACAGGGGACGACGCCAAAAAAGACAATCCAAACTAATGGTAATACGAAGTGAACCCAAAATCGATAGTAGGCATGCTGGCGGCTGCCGTGCGAGTTTTTGTTGCCTACAACAACGAGCGATTGCATCATTGCAGGCGGACAGCGTGGTGGCAGCGAAAACACCAACGCGCGCGATAGCAAACAAGGCGCTAAAGAGACGAGTGGTCGTTAACTAGCCTACGAGTGGCTAGTTTTTGTTGTTTGTTTCAGCTTCTTCTTCGTATTTTGGACGCCTAAATGCGCCGTTTGAACACAAATCGTGGAAATGAAATCATCCAACGGTTTTGTAATGCGCCACCAGCCAACACCACGAGCGCACTTTGGACGGGCAAACAAATTTACAAAAACAAAAGCAAAAAATAAATATTAGACAAAAGACGCGCCAAACGTAGTTCAGCGCGAAAGCGACATTGAATCCAACGACTGGGCGCGCTAAGGCGACAGCGCACGTCACGACAGGCACAAGCGGAAAAGCGCAAAGTAAATAAAATTCCACGCGAATGCAAATGCGGCTGGCGCTAGACTGTAGGGATGTATGAAATTAAAGCATTCCAAATGTGGCCTGCTATGAATCTATGCCCTGGCATGGCGCTGAGAAGATTATTAAGTAGTTTATTAGGCGCTCAGTTGGGCTGCTAAGCCGCCAGTATCTCGCGAAATCAGTAATTACGCCATATTTTCACATTTCGCGGCAATTAAAGCTCGTTTTTTAATAATTTATTGTATACAAGTATATTTGAAAAGAGATTAAAGTTCAAAATTTTCTGTTCATAAAAACAAGTATTAATAGGAAATATTTATAAAACAAGTGCACTGCGCAGCAACAAATGCTGCGAAAAGCATACACAGTTTTATTAATCCATTCAATATTATATAATTATCATTTTTATGTGGTCATAATCATTATTTTCAATTAGATTTTCAATAATTCTAGCGCAATGCTCGTAGTTGTGAAAATATTAAGGAAAATATATTATTGTATTGTATAATATAAATATTTTTTTATTATATGTTCCATTAGTAAAATATGTATATATATTTTAATTATTTTATTATTTTATTTTTATTAAAAAAATAATAATTTATTTTAGTTCATATTATTTATTACAAGATATTTAAATTTTTTTGAAAATTTCAATACTTTTATGAAAGTTATTTGACAGTCATATAAAATAAAAGTTTCCAAATTAATTATAAAAATTATATTATTTAAAAAAATATTTTTCTTTTTGATTTTTAGCTCTTTAAAAGGCTTCCTCAAAACGGTTTTAATTGAAATTTAGTCACAACTGCTAATTTATGTATAATTTTTTTGTAATGTTATTGTTTAAAATATTAAATAAAAATGATTAAAAATTACGGTTATAAGTTTTTAATAATTTTTTAATACTTTTTTCATTTGTATTATTGTTAGAATATTTAATTAAATAATTAAATATACGTACATTTATTACATAACTTAGTTAAATTTAATATAAAAAATATCTGAATATTATTTACGTTATTAATTTTAAAGTTTTCTCCATCAAAACTTTTGAATTAACTAAAAAAAATTGAATCGTAATCAAACAAAAAAATAAATAAAAAAAAATATTGTTAAATCGAAAATTTAACAAAAATGTTATAAAACACATTTAATTTTTTTTTATTATTATTTTTAATTTTTTTTTTTTATTATTATTTTTAATTTTTTTTTTATTATTATTTTTAATTTTTTTCTTATTTTTATTATTATTATTTTTAATTTTTTTCTTATTTTTATTATTTTTAATTTAAATTTTTTTAATTAACTGTTATTTTTTTCAAAAATGTTTATTTAAAAATTTTTTCAATTGTAATTTTTTTTTTTTTATTTTAATTGTTCTTTTTTTATGCAAACAGTTTAGATTTTTATCATATTTTTGATATAGTATTAGATTAAATATAGCAATACATTTTCAAATTTTCGATTTTATTGAAAAAAAGTATATTTTAATTGAAATTAAACAAATAAAAAATAAAAATATTTTTAAATGAAATTTAAAAAAATAAAAATATTTTTAATTGAAAATAAAAAAAGTTTAATAAAAATTAATTTAAAATTTTTTTATTTTTTTATTTTATTTCAGTTTTTTATTTTTTTACTTTTTCTCTTTTTTTCTTTATACATATATTTTTTTTATTTTTGCTTATTTTTGTTTTCTTTTGTTTTATATTTTCCTCTTCTTCATTTTTATTCTTTATTTTGAATTGAACTCTAAGCATTTATTAATTGTTTTTAAAATAATAGAACATTTTTAGTTTTTCTTTATACTTTTATTAAGTTTTTACATTTACATTTTACATACAAATATTTAAAAGTTTCTGTTGAATTTTTTTTTTTGTTAGAAATATTTACTTTCTTTGAAACATATTTTTATTCAGGTCTTTATTAATTATGTTTTATTATAAAAGTTATTTCGTGTATATTTTTTTATTATTTTTGCATTTAAAAATTTTGTTTTGTTTTAATTATTACATTAACGTTTTATTTATTTGTTTCTTATTTGGAAGTTAAGTTTATTTTTTATTCCGACTAATTTTATTATTTAAATTTTTTTTATATTAAATTTTTAAAATATTTTGTTGTATAAAATAACTTTTATTTTTCCTTTAAATCACACCACTGTAGCTAAAGAAGTAATATATAAAAAAACTTATTTTTCATATTTTACCAACCCTCCCCGACCCCTGACACCATAATGATCTCAACTCATAAGCGTCACAAGCTTTTATTGCATTTAATAATTTTTTGTTTACGTGTTTTGTTTTGCGTTTTTAATTTCAATTAAATTTTTGTTATTTGCCACTGTCACTGCACTTCCTATTTTTAAATGTCATAAATTAAATAAGTGAAATATGTGTGAGCATTTATGACTGTCAACTGATGCGCTGATGCATCGAGGTGACTTTTCCTACACAGATGCATACTAAATGTACATATGTACATACATACATATGTATATTAAATGTCCATATGTCCATAGTATTCATATGCATCACCATAGTTCATGTAAGCATTTGACGCGCAAAAACAAAGGCGTCAGACTGTGAGTTGCTGCTACAACAACAAAGACAATCGTTGTTTATATTGTTGTAGCGGTGAAATGTCATTGTCATCTTGACGTTCTGTGGGATGAATATTTTTCGACTGTTAATTATTATTCGTCAGAGTTCTCAAGGTGATTATGACTAAACACCAGAAGTCAACGTTCTTCGAGAATATTTCTTGCGCAAATCAACGAAAACAAATATAATTAAGATCAACTTTGATCGATCGTTAGCGTATATTATAAAATCGAAAGGCATTGATTAGTAATCGATAGGACTTATTTTTGATTAATAACTAACCCAAAGACTACATTCTTGGATTGACAGTTTGATGTGACACAATCAATTCAGCAGATAATCAAAAATTCTGATAAGTATTGTTTAAAACAATAATAGCAAAAAACTATAAAATTATAAAAGATAACAATCCGAAATTCATAAAACTTAGATATATTATCGATATTGTAAACTCGATAGCAAAATTTTGTATCGACATCTATTTATTTTTGATCATTTTCGATTGTTCATTAAAATTATTTAAATATTTTTATGTCAAGTACGATCGATACAACACAACACAAAGAATAGATCGATATTTTTATTTAACGAAAACAAATACATTTCGTTACCAGAACCTTTGCTATTAAAGTATTTTCGATTAAGCGTAAATAAAATAAAATTTTTAATAAAAAGAATATAATCGCATATATTTGAAGCATAGGCTTATGAAAATATTTATGTATGTTATATATCACAAAATTTTATGCTTAAAGCTAAATAAAAGAGTTCTGATAAAATAAAAACAATTGAATAAATAATAGAAAATATCGACATTTTTATCGAAATTTTTTAATCGATAATTTCAGTTATCGTTTCATTCAGATTACGCAGAATAGAAACCAAATATTATAAAAAAATATATATATATAAGTTAAGTCTAACGATAATTTTACCAGTTAATATATGTATGCATATAGAAAAAACTTGTAAATATGGTACCGTAATTCTGAAATTATGTCAGCATCTTAATTAGTTTCTTAAAAACGGGCCAAATATCTCAATGAGTTCTCATTTGCTTTTTGCAGTCAGTTCAATGAAAATAAAAAAAATAAAATATATCACAATTCTTATCTTGCTCATATTTTTCTCCAAGTGTTGAAAAGAGGAAAACAAACCAACAACGGTTAGTGATAAAGCATACGCAATACTATTATTTAAACAATTTCTGGCGCTTATCAGTAATTAAATGAGAATATAAAAATATACACAAACAAAAGGTCATTCATTTACAGAGTTTACTCACTTATAATACAAACACACACAAACGAATGCACAAATGTATATATGAATGTGTGAATGAATGAGTGTTTATAGCGGCATATAAGTAATTAAAATAATAAAAATGTCTAATTGTGGGTAGCTTAAAGCAAAAAAATAATAAAAAATAAATTAAAATTAGCAATAAATAATAATAAGAATATTATTTAATAATAATAAATTATAAAGTAAAAATAAAATTAATCAATTAAATAATAAAAATTTAGATTCCAAGCAATATGTTGAAGGGTTGTGTAATGTAGAAGAAAATAAAATGTAATAAATATAACA